TGCTGGTTGGGACTGGCTACATGAAGCACATCTGAAAACCAACATGGACCACAAGTGAGGTCAGATGTTTTGATTGGTAGGCTGGTCTAGATGAACATTGAGATATTTTCATCTCCTAGAACATTCTTTCTATCTTCCCTAACTCAGTCCAAAGTTGCTATCATATAAAGCTATTCTTCACCCCAGCCCTTTCCCCAAGATAGAACTATCCTTTTATCTTTTGTGTATCCCCATTGCTATTGCCATGAAAATATGAAGAAGAGTAAATGTATTCATATTAATAATAACAGCAGTAAAGCCATTGCCGAATGTACACATATCAAATAAAATACTTTGTTGCTGTTTAGTCGCTCAGTCATGTCTGATTCTCTGTGACCCCATGGGTTGTAGCCCACCAGGCTCCTCTGTCCATAGCATTTCCTGGGCAAGAATACTGGAGTGGGTTGTCATTTCCTACCCCAGGGGATCTTCCCCACCCAGGGATTGAACACTAGTCTCCTGCATTCTCAGACATTTTCTTAACCACTGAGCCACCAGGGAAACCCTGATAAAATACCAGATATGTTATTTAATAGCCAGACTATCTTTGGGAATGAGAGCTCCCCTGGTGGTTCAGATGGTAAATGCATCTGCCTGCAATGCGGGAGACCTGGGTTTGTTCCCTGGGTCAGGAAGATCCCCTGGAGAAGGAAATGGCAACCCACTCCAGTACTCTTGCCTGGAAAATTCCATGGATGAAGGAGCCTGGTAGGCTACAGTCCGTGGGGTCGCAAAGTGTCAGACACTACTGAGCGACTTCACTTTCTTTCTTTCTGTCTTTGAGAATGGAAATCATCTATTTTCTGTTTTACAAATTAGGAAATTGAGGCACAGTGGAGTTAAATAACTTTCCCAAAGTCTAAAAAATGGAGTAGCCAAGACTCAGCTACAAGCACTTTTTATTCTAGAACTCAGCTTTTTCCCCAGCAGCTGTCTCTCTCCATGACCCATCCGCTAGTCTATGAAAACCTCCCGAACACTTGAATTTTGTTTAACATTTCTCTCTTCTACTTCACTATATTTCTCTCTTATACTTCACTTCTGAGTGAAAAGACAAGGAGCTTCACACATATTAGGAAATCTTTTTTTTTGCTTTACTAAGCGGCCAGTGATGCCCTTGAAAACTTTACTTGGAATTGTATGTTGGCATCATCATGTATCATGGTGCTGTTAATGGAAAAAATACAGAGGCTTGCATGATGGGGCTTCCCCATGACAGGGTGGTGTAGGGGTAAAGAATCCACCTGGCAATGTAGGAGATGCAAGAGATGTGGGTTTGACCCCTGGATTAGGAAGATTCCCTGGAGTACGAAATAACAACCCACTCCAGTATTCTCCAAGCCAGGCTTCAACAGTACGTGAACTATGAACTTCCGGATGTTCAAGCTGGATTTAGAAAAGGCAGAGGAACCAGAGATCAAATTGCCAACATCTGCTGGATCATTGAAAAAGCAAGAGAGTTCCAGAAAAACATTTACTTTTGCTTTATTGACTATGCCAACACCTTTGACTGTGTGGATCACAATAAACTGTGGAAAATTCTGAAAGAGATGGGAATACCAGAACAGCTGACCTGCTTGCTGAGAAATCTGTATGCAGGTCAAGAAGCAACAGTCAGAACTGGACATGGAATAACAGATTGGTTCCAAATCAGGTTGGAGTAGGTCAAGGCTGTATATTGTCACGCTGCTTATTTAACTTCTATGTAAAGTAGATCATGCAAAATGCTGGGCTGGATGAAGCACAAGCTGGAATCAAGATTGCTGGGAGAAATATCAATAACCTCAGATATGCAGGTCACACCACCCTTATGGCAGAAAATAAATAAGAACTAAAGAATCTCTTGATGAAAGGGAAAGAACAAAAGAAGCTCTTGATGAAAGGAGAGTGAAAAAGCTGGCTTAAAACTTAACATTCAGAAAACTAAGATCATGACATCTGGTCCCATCACTTCATGGTAAATAGATGGGACCACAATGGAAACATTGAGAGACTTTATTTTTTGGGGTTCCAAAATCACTACAGATGGTGACTGCAGCCATGAAAATAAAAGACACTTGCTCCTTGGAAGAAAAGCTATGACCAGCCTAGACAGCATATTAAAAAGCAGAGACATTACTTTACCAACAAAGTCCATCTAGTCAAAGCTATGGTTTTCCAGTAGGCATGTATGGATGTGAGAGTTGGACTATAAAGAAAGCTGAATGCCAAAGAACTGATGTTTTTGAACTGGTGTTGAAGACCCTTGAGGGTCCCTTGTACTGCAAGGAGATCCAACCAGTCCATCGTTAAGGAAATCAGTGCTAAATATTCATTGGAAGGACTGATGCTGAAGCTGAAGCTCCAGTACTCTGGCCACCTGATATGAAGAGCCAGCTCATTGGAAAAGACCCTGATGCTGGGAAAGACTGAGGGCAGGAGGAGAAGGGGACGACAGCATGAGATGATTGGATGGAATCACCAAGGTGATGGACATGAATCTGAGTAGACTCCAGGAGTTGGTGATGGACAGGGAAGCCTGGCATGCTGCAGTCCATGAGGTTGCAAGGAATTGGACATGACTGAGTGATTGAACTGAACTGAACCAGTATTCTTGCCTGGAAAATCCCATGGACAGAGGAGCTGGTGGCTTACAGTCCATGGTCTCACAAAAGAGTGGAGCATTACTGAGTGACTGAGCATGCACATGCATGAAAGGAACCCATGGCAGAGTTAATTTCTTGTTTTCTTTGCTTTTGTTTTTTAAATTCACAACTGGTGCTTTAAATGATAACTGTGCTATTACTAAGTTTTGCTGCATAAAAAGACTTTTCCTAAAATGGGACACTTCATTCTGATTGCTTCCAATTACATCCTTGATTTGATGTGAATCAAATCAAGACTTTGCTGCCCAACACCTCATTGATCCCACCTCAGGAAAAACCCACTGATAAATATGACCAAGGAGGAGAAGAGGTTGCCAGGTGTCATCTCTGATGCCCATTGAGGGCTCCAGGGTCATCCCGAGCTTATCAGTACAGCCCAGAAAGTCAGCAGGAGGAAAACATTAATGAGAATCAGGGTTGTCCTCAAGGGATCTGATGAGGGAGCAGGGTTGAGATCTCTGGTTGAGATCATCTGACACTTCATCAATAGCCAAGAATACTTGAGACCAGCACATGCAGTTCTCCTCCAAGTTATTTCATAAGAACTAATTTGTATGTGATGTTCTGAAGTGAAAAGAATCTGTAATCGAATAACTATGGGCCACAGCTCATATAGGATGTGTCACAATGTACATTTGGATATACAGATCTCTGAAATGTACAGAAATCTACTCAGCTATAGTTCACTTGACCATTATAGCAGAGATGGTTTGTTTCCATTGGGCATCCATTTTCTTCAACCTCCTTGGTAGTAGAACTATGATGTTATTCACATTGGCAATACTCTTTTCACAGTTTTTTTTTTTTTTTTTTTTTCACAGAAATACTACATTTCACAGTCTCCCTTGCAGTCGGGTATGGTCATATGACCACACATTCTGGCCCATGAGGTAAAAATAGAGTGCCGCAAGGGAATTCAAGAAAAGTTATTTAAATAAAATTGATTTATCTAGAATACCATTGTGTCTGCCATGCTTTATAATTTTTCATTTCTGTTACTTGGAATGCAGATGTAATGACTGGAGCTCTGGCAACCATTTTGAACTATACAGTGACATTGAAGATGGACGTCATTGCTAAGCATGGTGGAAGAGAAACATAAAAAGATCTGGGATTCTCATCATACCAGCCCAGGATGGCTTACCTCGGAATTTATTCCACTTGAAAGAAAAATAAATGTTCATCTTTTAAAGTTCTGGAGTTTTTTAATAGCACTGGAACACAATCCCTGTTTAAATTAATCATTGAAATCCTTTTGCACATAACTTACTATCCACATGCTTTAGAACACATTTTGGAAAGCATGAGTTTGACTTAACCCTTAATACCTACATCTGCAGAAGAAAATCGAAGGCCAGGGAAGGGAAATGCTTTGTCGATGGTCACAGCTGTTTAGTAGCAGGACTGAACTTTGGCCCAAGTAATCTGAAAATTGGTCCCTTGCTCTCAGCTCTCTCATACTTATTTTTTATATATTCTGAAACCATTTTAGATGCACAGTAGATAGGATCCAGTATATGAATTACAGATCTTCAGGTGCCTCAGAAAGAAATTTATAGTGCCCTAGAAAGAAAATAAGCCATTTCAGGCGACCTTGTCCTGGAATGTTCGCCACTGGGCATTTGGGGAGACTTGAAATCCCCCTGTCAGTTAGGCATGGGGAAGGCGATGCGATAGCTGGCCAGAATGATACTTTTGTCTTCTCGCCTTTCAAATCCAAATAAATCATGAAGGCCTTCATATCTGCCTTTTAAGAATGCTGCCCTGGGTGACTTGTGGTGGTCTATCAACTTGTCTCACAGCTAACAGCCAATTAAAACACCTGGAGGAATCTGCAAGTTGCTACAGAGGCAAAAATGTGGCCCAGGTCTGATGGGGTCTCAAGGAAATAAATCCATGTTTAAACCTCCACAGATGGGCTCCTCCCATTGAGCCTGGATGAGTGCAGACACACACGCACAAACACACACACACAATGCCTTACTGACCACACACACACACACACATCCCACTTCACACACACACACACACATACAAGCACATCACGCATTGCACACAAACATTCCAAACCACACACATACCACACACACACACACACACACACACACACCCCACACATACCTCACACCCCAAATCACACACATACCACACACACACACCCTCTCACATATGCTCCCCACACACCTCATGCCATGCTCACCACACAGACCCCACACTCACGTGCACACCCACACCACGTTTTGCTAGGCAGAAATGGAACACTGTATCATTAATTACTCCCCCATTGTTAGAAAAAAAAAATTATGATGTTGTTACCTGAGGGCTTGCTGACAGACTTCTTCAGGTCTCCTCCACCTGGCTTAAATCCAAGGTTTCTTTTCTCCCTTCCTTCTTCTGAATTCTGGAATGCAGACAGCAGATTCTTCCATCAGTAAACGAATGTGTCTAAAGCCCATTTATCATGCCGTGTCAGGAGAAGGGCCCTCCACCATCTTCTCACTCCACTTCTAAGCAATGAAACACCGAATCCCTGGCGTATTCACAGATTGCATCTCCCCAGAAGTTTCCAGCATTTGGGGGGCTTTTTCCCTATAAATTTCCAATCGCATTCATTTTCTTTTTTTTTTTAATTTTATTTTTTTATTTTTCATTTATTTTTATTAGTTGGAGGCTAATTACTTTACAATATTGTACTGTTTTTTGTCATACACTGACATAAATCAGCCATGGATTTACATGTATTCCCCATCCCGATACCCCCTCCCACCTCCCTCTCCACCCGATTCCTCCGGGTCTTCCCAGTGCACCAGGCCCGAGCACTTGTCTAGAGACACGTGCACCCCAATGTTCATCGCAACACTGTTTATAATAGCCAGGACATGGAAGCAACCTAGATGCCCATCAGCAGACGAATGGATAAGGAAGCTGTGGTACATATACACAATGCAATATTACCCAGCCATTAAAAAGAATTCATTTGAATCAGTTCTAATGAGATGGATGAAACTATAGCCCATTATACAGATTGAAGTAAGCCAGAAAGATAAAGACCATTATAGTATACTAACACATATACATGGAATTTAGAAAGATGGTAACGATAACCCTATATGCAAAACAGAAAGAGACACAGATGTACAAAACAGACTTTTGGACTCTGTGGGAGAAGGCGAGGGTGGGATGTTTCGAGAGAACAATCACATTCATTTTCAAGGGATTGTTTAAAACCTTTGGTGGGACTTCACATCTTTTATTCCATAGGTTTTCACATTTTCAGAGGAACATGGGGGAATTTAAAGCCTTTTTTTCTTTCCATGTCGCTCAGCTGGTAAAGAATCTGCCTGGAATGCGGGAGACCTGGTTAGTTCCCTGGGTTGGGAAGATCCACTGGAGACGGGAAAGGCTACCCACTCCAGTATTCTGGCCTGGAGAATTCCATGGACTGTATAGTCCATGAGGTCACAAAGAGTCGACATGACTAAGCAACTTTCACTTTCACTTTCTTTCATTTCATATACAACAAAGTTAACTGGTATAACAGATAGATTCTAGGTCTCGGAAGTTTAACAAATAAAAAATTAGCATCTTGTGTCTCTTGTCCAGTGAGGTCAACGGGAGGGGGTATCTTGCTCTGAGCCAGGGGTTGGAAAACTATAATCAGCCTGACACCTATCTTCGTAAATAAAGTTTTATTGGAACACAGCCTCATCCATTCGTTGGCATGGTGTCTAAACAGTCAGCTGACCCTTGTTCTAGGCAGGCATTCAAGGACACTGTCTTCTTGCATCTCCCTGCTCCTCTGAGTTCTGGACGTCTCTCCATTCTGCAGGCAGGTGGAGATTTTGGGGGGAGGTTTTTTTAACAGGTTAGGCATGGAAGTCCTGTCTAAAACTCCCACTTGTATTTACTGGCCAAAGCTCAGTCACATGGCTACAGTGATCTCTCAGGTATGCTGGAAAAGCATATTACCTTTGTTCCAGATAGAAGGAGAAGCAGGATCTGTGAGCACCTAGCTTCTGCTTCCGGTGTCTCTTGACTTCAGCACCTACATCTAGGCATCAGGATTCCCCTAGTTTCTATCACCCTAATAGCTCTGGATCCTTCCTTCATCTCTCACCATGTCGGCCCTGCCCTGGTTCAGGCACTGGGGTTTTCCGCTTCTGTTTTCGGGACTGCAGTCTCTCATCAGTCACAGTTCCAGTCTCCATCTCTCTTTTCCCTGTGAGGTCACGCTTGTCATTCCATGCCTTTGTTTCCTGAAACAACTTTAGGGTCTGCTTAGGGAGAGGCAGTCACGTTCCTCCAAACCTGACGAAGCCCTGGTTCAGCTTGACGTCTTTTCTCCCATGATCCCGGAGCTTTCTCCTCTACAGAAGGTTCTATCTTCTTTTCACTCTTTGGCCTGTAGCCACTTTGTAGCTTCTTCTCACATTGCTCCTTCTGCCTGGAAAATGTTCATCTCCCCAAATCTCAGCCATCTGACCCATATCAACATGTCCAGATATAACTCAGACCTTCATCCATCTACACTAAGGACCTCACAGGAAGCAGGAGCTGGGTCATTTTTATTCATTCATTGTACCCATAGAGCTAGCACACTTCCTTCACACACACAAACACACACACACACACACACACACGGTTGCTCAGTTGTGTCTGACTCTTTGCAACCCCATGGACTGTAGCCGGCCAGGCTACTCTATTCACAGAATTCTCTAGGCAAGGATATTGGACTGGGTTACCATTCCCTTCTCCAGGGGATCTTCCCTACCCAGAGATCAAACCCAGGTCTCTTGTATTGTAAGCAGGTTCTTCACCATCTGAGCCACCAGGGAAGCCCAGCACATTTCCCAACACATTGTAATGACTAACATTGTTTTAAATGAATGAATGAAAGAATGAATATCCAGTGGATTATGTGTGTACATGTATACCCAGTGACCTGGATCTGTTTTCCCTCTGAAGTCTCATAATTGTACCTTTTTAGAGTAATGCTTATCACTCTTATTTAGCATGAGCTATACATGTGTACTTGGTATCACATTTCCTGGACTGCTCAATTCTCATGGATAAGAGAATCACCATCAGCATCACAGCATCTATCACATGGTAGGTGCTGAACGAATGTGAGATAAATAGACAGGTGAACCAAGGGAGCTGAGGTCTTTCTTGAAGATTCTGCTCCATACACATTTGCTAAGCCTCATATTACTGCCTTCAGGTGAGAATGTAGAGTGATGATATTAATCTTAGAATGAGAAAGGTCTTTCTCTCTTAAAATGGGCTTGAAAGGCTTTAAATCAAGAGCTAAGAAGATTCAAGGTTAAGTAACAGCTTAAATTCTTGAGCAGTGTAGCTCTTCCTGCTTTTTTTATGCAGAGGCAGGAATTAAGAGCCTAATACCAGGATGAATAACTTTGGTCTTAGTTGTGATATGAAGAGACAAGGGGGGAAAACAAAAAAGAGGGGAGACTGGACTCTGAATAGGAAATTGTTGGAACGTTATATCAAGTATCACACTCTGTTCAATTGAGTGGAAACAACTAGCCCTGAATCATTTTTCCTATCCATGTAATGGGTATCGCTTCATTAATCAAAGCTTAGCATTAGTGTAAAGAGGGTGGGTGTGATCACAAAGCCTCATTATGTGGTTGATTCAGACATGAAACACTAAGAAGCAATTCATTGAAACCACAGGCTTTTCAACTCTGGAAACTTAGAAATAGATTACAAATAAGCAGGCATCTCTTCCTATATGTTTTAATTTTTTTTTAATTTTATATTGGAGTATAGTTGATTAACAATGCTGTGTTAGTTTCAAATGTACAACAAAGTGATTCAGTTATATACAAATATGTATCTATTCCTTTTCAAATCCTTTAGGTTATTACAGAATATTGAGCAGAGTCCTCTGTGCTATACAGTAGATCCTTCCCTTGGTTGTCTATTTTAAATATCGCAGTGTATACATGCCAATCTCAAACTCCCAATCTATCCCTTCTCTCCCCCCCTCCTCCCTGGTAAGCATGTTTATTCTCTATGTCTATGATTCTACTTCTGTTTTGTAAAGAAGTTCACTTGTATCATTTTTTTAGAATCTTCATATAACTGATATACCATGATATTTGTCTTTCTCTGATTTGCTTCATTTAGTATGATAATCAATCTCCAGGTCCATTTATGTTGCTGCAAATGGCATTATTTTATTCTTTTTTATAGCTGAGTATTATTCTGTTATATTTAAGTGCCATATCTCCTTTATCTATTCATTTGTTGACAGACATTTAGGGTGCTTACATGTCTTGGATATAGTAAACAGTGCTGCAATGGACGCTGTGATGAGTGTAACCTTTCAAACCATGTTTTTCTTCAGATACATGCTCAGGAGTGGGGTTGATAGATCATATGATAGCTCTGTTCTTAGTTTTTCAAGAAATTTCCATGCTGTTGGGCTTCCCTGGTGGTACAGAGGGCAAAGCATCTGCCTACAATGCGGGAGACCTGGGTTCCATCCCCAGGTCAAGAAGAACCCCTGGAGAAGAAAATAGCAATACCCCACTCCTGGAAAATTACATGCCTGGAATTATTGACTGGAAAATACCATGGATGGAGGAGCCTGGTATGCTACAGTCCATGGAATTGCAGAGTCGCACAGAGTTGCCAAGTCGACTAAGAAATTTCACTTCTTCATGCTGTTCTCCTTAGTAGATATATCAATTTACATTCCCACCAACAGTGTAGGAGGTTCCCTTTTGACACACCTTCTCCAGCATTAATTATTTTTAGATTTTTTGACAATGGCCATTCTGATTCCTATGAGGCGACATCTCACTGAAATTTTGATTTGCGTTTCTCTAGTAATTAGTGATGCTCACAAGTGAATTCTATCAAAAGGTTAGAGAGCAGTTAACACCTATCTTTCTGAAACTGTTCCAAAAATTGCAGAGGAAAGACCTCTTCCTGTGCTTTTTTCGTGGGAGCACTTTGCTGAACAGGCTGGGCATTGCATAGACAGTGGGTCTCAAATATCCTGTGGGCTTCTCTGTATTTTCCATCTCACTCATAGTTGGATGGGTTTGTGGTGTGAACTCTTCCAGAGGCAGACAACAGGACAGGAATTAATGTACCCCTGATAACTTCTGATGGGTTTCCCTGGTGCCACAGATGGTAAAGAATCTGCCTGCAATGTGGGAGACCAGGGTTCAATCCCTGGGTTGGGAAGATCTCCTGGAGAAGGGAATGCTACCCACTCCAGGATTCTCTCCTGGAGAATTCCATGGACAGAGGAGCCCAGCAGGCTACAATTCATGGGTTTGCAAAGAGTTAGACATGACTGAGCAACTAACACTTGCAACTTTATCCTGGTAAATTCCTCATCACACGATTGGTCCATCTGAGCCATGGGGCTGGTTAGGCTTTTTCGGTTGCGTCTGACTCTTTGTGACCCCATGGACTGTAGCCCACAAGGCTTATATGTTCACTTTAGATAAATGGATAAGTGGAAGTGAAGGCAACAGAGAGTGTGGTATTGAGTCAGCTTCTGCTGTGGTCACCTGGAGCTTAATGCTACTGAAGAACTCTGAAAATCAGTGTGGAAGGAGCCTCAGAATGACTCAGACAGAGGAGTGAGGAAGCTGGGGTATTTATCTACCACTTCTCCTATCAGTGGCTGGGGCTGCTCTCAGAGATCTGGTTTCCTGGCAAAGCAGAGGCTGGCATAGTGAGTGGCATTGAGAATGCAGAGATGATAGGGCACATAGAGAGGACATTCATGAAGAGAACCATGCACCAGCCTCTACCCACCTGACCCCGAGAGAAGTGGCATGGCCTGCTTCCACCATCTCTTCTTCCTTCTCTCCCTTTGGTGGGTCCATGGTAAAGGATCGGCCTGTAATGAAGGAGACACAGAAGCTGTGGGTTCAAGCCCTGGATCAGGAAGATCCCGTGGAGGAGGAAATGGCAACCCACTCCAGTATTTTTGCCTGAAGACCCCATGAACAGATAAGCCTTTTGGGCTACAGTCCATGGGATCACAAAGAGGCAGACACAACGGAAAAAGCCTATCCAGCCACATGGCTCAGATGGACCTACCGTAGGAATTTTCCAGGCTGGGGACCTGAATGACAGTGCGACAACTGCCTCCATTCTCAATGTTCTCCAGTTGCTGGTGAACTTGTAGTGTGAATGGGAATAAAATTCTTGCTGTTAAGCCACTGAGATTTTAGGACTGGTCTGTTATGGCAACTGGCATTAATTACTGCGGTGAATATGCTAGATATTAAAGATTTAGTCTCCAATTAACTCATATTCATCCATCATTCAGTTCAGTTCAGTCTCTCAGTCGTGTCCGACTCTTTGTGACCCCATGGACTGCAGCACATCAGGCCTCCCTGTCCCTCACCAACTCCCAGAGCCAATTCAAACTCATGTCCATCACATTGGTGATGCCATCCAACCATCTCATCCTCTGTTGTTCCCTTCTCTTTTTGCCTTCAATATTTCCCAGCATCAGCGTCTTTTCAAATGGGTCAGTTCGTCGCATCAGATGGCCAAAATATTGGAGTTTCAGCATCAGTCCTTCCAATGAATATTCAGGACTGATTTCCTTTAGGATGGACTGGTTGGATCTCCTTGCAGTCCAAGGGACTCTCAAGAGTCTCCTCCAACACCACTGTTCCAAAGCATCAATTCTTCGGTGCTCAGTTTTCTTTGTAGTCCAACTCTCACATCCATACATGACCACCGGAAAGACCGTAGATTTGACTAGATGGACCTGTGTTGGTAAAGTAATATCACTGCTTTTTAATATCCTGTCTAGGTTGGTCATAGCTTTTCTTCCAAGGAGCAAGTGTCTTGCAATTTCATGGCTGCTGTCACCACCTGCAGTGATTTTGGAATCCCCCCCCAAAATAAAGTCTCTCACCATTTCCATTGTTTCCCCATCTATTTGCTATGAAGTGATGGGACCAGATGCCATGATCTTAGTTTTTTGAATGTTGAGTTTTAAACCATTTTTTTTATTCTCCTTTTTCATTTTCATCAGGAGACTCTTTAGTTCCTCTTCACTTTCTGCCATAGAGTGGTGTCATCTGCATATCTGAGGTTATTGATATTTCTCCCAGCAATCTTGATTCCAGCTTGTGCTTCTCCCAGCCCAGCGTTTCTCATGATGTACTCTGCCTATAGTTAAACAAGCAGGGTGACAATATACAGCCTTTATGTACTCCTTTCCCAATTTGGAACCAGTCCTTTGTCCCATGTCCAGTTCTAACTGTTGCTTCTTGACCTGCATACAGATTTCTCAGGAGGCAGGTCAGGTGTTCTGGTATTCAGAATTTTCTGCAGTTTGTTGTCATCCACACAATCAAAGTCTTTGGCATAGTCAATAAGGCAGAAGTAGATGTTTTTCTGGAACTCTCTTGCTTTTTTGATGATCCAACAGATGTTGACAATTTGATCTCTGGTTCCTCTGCCTTTTCTAAATCCAGCTTGAACATCTGGAAGTTCATAGTTCACATACTGTTGAAGCCTGGCTTGGAGAATTTTGAGCATTACTTTGCTAGTGTGTGAGACGAGTACAATTGTGCAGTTGTTTGAACACTCTTTGGCATTGCCTTTCTTTGGGATTGGAATAAGAACTGACCTTTTCCAGTCACTAAGCCACTGCTGAGTTTTCCAGATTTGTTGGCATAGAATGCAACACTTTCACAGGATCATCTTTTAGGACTTGAACTAACTCAGCTGGAATTCCATCATCTCCACTAGCTTTGTTCGTAGTGATACTTCCTAAGGCCCACTTGATGTGGCATTCCAGGATGTCTGGCTCTAGGTGAGTGATCACACCATCGTGGTTATCTGGGTCATGAAGATCTTTTTTGTATAGTTCTTCTGTGTATTCTTGCCACCTCTTTCTAATATCTTCTGCTTCTGGTAGGTCCATACCATTTCTGTACTTTATTGAGCTCATCTTTACATGAAATGTTCCCTTTATATCTCTATTTTTTCTTGAAGAGATCTCTAGTCTTTCCTATTCTATTGTTTTCCTCTATTTCTTTGCACTGATCACTGAGGATGGCTTTCTTATCTCTCCTTGCTATTCTTTGGAACTTTACATTTGAATGGATATATTTATCCTTTTCTCCTTTGCCTTTCACTTCTCTTCTTTTCTCAGCTATTTGTTAAGCCTCGTCAGACAACCATTCTGCCTTTTCACATTTCTTTTTCTTAGGGATGGTCTTGATCATTGCCTGCTTAAATTTCTATTAAATATTGGCCATTATTCTAAGGTCTTTCATAATCATTGACTCATTTAATGCTTATAATTTTATCAAATGCATCTTATTCCATTTTTAAAGGTGAGGTGACTGAGCCTCAGAAATATTAAATTGCCCACATCACACAGCTAGTATGCAGAGAGTGCCAGCCCTATTCATAGTGTCATTAAGGTAATCAGATCAGACCACTGTGAGTAACTGTGTCTCAGCTAGGTCACTAAAGCAAACCCCACCTTAAGTACATTCATTTCTGCTATTAAATCACTGTGGACAGTGACTGCAGCCATGAAGTTGAATGATGCTTGCTCCTTGGGAGAAAAGCTATGACCAACCTAGACAGCATATTGAAAAACAGACATCACTTTGCTGACAAAGGAATGGATAGGTAAAGCTATGGTTTTTCCAACAGTCATGTATGGATGTGAAAGTTGAACCGTAAAGAAGGTTGGGTGCCAAAGAACTGATGCTTTCAAACTGTGATGCTGGATAAGACCCTTGAGCACCTGGGCAACAAGGAGATCAAACCAGTTAATCCTAAAGGACATCTATCCTGAATATTTATCAGAAGGACTGATGCTGAAGCTTAAGTTTCAATTTTTTGGCCACCTGATGCAAAGACCTGACGCACTGGAAAAGACCCTGATACTAGGAAAGATTGAGGGCAAGAGAAAAGGGTGACAGAGGATGAGATGGTTGGATGGCATCATCGATTCAATGGACGTGAATTTGAGCAAACTCTGGGAAGTCTGGCATGCTGCAGTCCATTGGGTCACAAAGAGTCAGACACAACTGATCCACTGAACAACAAGACTGTGACCAAATGCAAAATCCTCCAGGCTTCCCTAATTCAGGGAAGTCCCTGTCTGTGGAATCCAAAATGTAGAAGCTTCCACGGCAGTTTCAACTCTAACATTTGAGAAGTGGCCATCACAGCAAGTAGCATAGTTTATTATCATAATAAGATGCCTCCTTCTAAGCTTTCCCTTCCTCCACTTCCTTCTTTCTTTTGTGAAAACTGCCAAACGTTTCTCAGTAAAACTGGATAGCACCAATTCCGGGAGATGTATAGAAAAGGCATTTTCCATGTTTCAATTAACTTTATATTTCACTGATTAAAGGAAATATATTTTACTTCCATGCTTCTCAAACTTGAGAATGCTTGAAAACTTGTTAGAAGAATTGTTAGAACAAAGACTTCTGAGTCCTGCATTCATAGACCCTCATTCTGTAGACCTAGAATGGGCACTGAGAATTTACATTTTCAGTAAAGTTCCCAGGAAAAAGATGCCACCACTGCCAGTCCAGGGGACCACTCTGAGTAGTTGATGCATAGGTTTATGGACTTCATTTCTGATAACTCTTAAACTGTACTGAATCCCATTGTCTCACCTTCACTTTGCTTTTCTTTACTGTTTATAAAATTTTTATCTTTGTGACAATCTTTGATTATCACTTGGAATCATCTCATTCATTTTCCATTCATACAACAAATGTTTATGGACTGCCTACTCTGTGCCAGGCACTGCTAGGTGCTGAAATTTTTAAATACAGTTAAAAAGGCTATCGTTATCTTCAAGGGGCTCATGGTCAAATGGCTGGAAGGGGATTGAGGGGTATGGGTCAGAGCATAGTGACAGGAGTGAAGCCTGGGAGTAGTGTGGGTATCACAGCAGAGGGAGGACCACTTAAAGAGGGTTTCTAAAGTTTCTATTGCTTCCCTTCTTGCTTCTTTCCTCATCCTCCCCTCCTCTTGTTCTCTTGTCTTCATCTTCACACTTGACTTGAAGTGCTCTGCATGTATCGCCCTTTCATTTTGGGGTGGAGGAATGGACCTCACATCCTCCATGCTCCCAAATAAATTCAAATCATCCACAATCATTAGCAAGCACACCATGGCCACCTCCTATTTAGAAAAGCAGCTCTTTAATCACTGGAAGCTAATACAATGTACAAATCAAAGTGCAAATGTTTTATATTATATTATACACACACACATATATGTATATACAGAGATACCCTTGAGGCAGGAATGTTTCTCTCCCTGTCTTTGCAATCTGAGATGTTCTACAAGTCTATAGGAGAAGATGAGTAGAGAGAGACTCCAATGTCTTTAGCATCTGAAGGATCCAGGGATCCTGGACATAACTGCCTTCAAAAGTCAGACTACCTGGGTTCTGCCACTGACTCAGGAATGTTCATTTATTACACTTATTAAAAGAAAAATAGCCAAATAAAAGCAAGGTTGATTTTAGGTAATGGACAACATTTTGTTTTTTATTCTCACCAGCAATATTTTTTAGTTATTTTGACTCCAGCTGAAAGTTTCAAAGTTTGTAGTCATAGCACAGTTTTCACCAACAAGCTAAATGAAATGGTCCCTTTACTTCTAGCTAGAATGAGCTGGTCCAAACAATAAATCACATACGAAGGCACAGCTTAGAAAGAGCTCAGTTCTCCGGCTCGCTTCCCCAAACTTCTTCGAGTCTAAAGAAAGGTCTCAAGTTAACCGGTTCTTTAGCACATCACTACTGAATAGGCAGATGTTGGTAAGAAGAGCTCTGGGGGGAAAACATTATTTTCTAAAATGGTAAAGCAAGAAGAGTGGAA